ATCAGTTTAGTTTTTCAAAAATCTCAGCTGTAGTTTGGTGAATTATATGGGTGGGTCTGTATAGGTTCGCAGGCCTTTTTGGTGGATCACCAGTTCAATTTATACTGAGATTAATGGAAAGGTAAGTGAATTGGATTACCATGTTATGATATTTTAACCTTCTTTTCTTTGATGGAAACTATTTTGTGCAAACACAAACTTAATTGTGTTGTTTAATTACTTGTTCTCAGGAAATTGGTGTTGTTCATAGGAGATGGCATCTTTGGAAGAGAATTTACGATTTATATTTGGGGTAACCTTCTATCTTAACCTATGAGATTTTCCATTTGGAATATTGTGCCTTCTCTTATTTGAACTGAAATTATTCAGCTAATGGCATTTTAATTGTACATGTAATTTTCTTGACCAAGACCATGGAAACCAAGTGTCTGTATCATGAAAGGAATGATCACAAGTCAACATGTGAAAGCAATTGATGCGGTGTCTATTCATTAGATTTCTGCAAGTTCATGTTCTTTCTCATTTTTGGAGCTCATTTACCTAGCGGTTAATATTTCTTCTGTTAATTTAGGACATTTTGTTGTCTTCACTCTGTGACTTCACGTTGGAGAATCATGAGAACTGTACTCTTGCATTTTCTCAAGTCACATGCAAGTTTAATTTGCAGTCATAAAAGGAGGCTGCTACTATTCAATTTCTTCAACTTCTTACTCATCTAGTGAATGTACTTAGATTTCAAGTGTTTTTATTATCAACATTTGTTGTCTTTCTTCCTTGTAAAGTTTTTGAATTGTCAGCTGTTCTGAGCTTTTCCACAATGATGCTGTATCTTTAATTTTCACATACAAAACCAGGCTAATCAGCTAGTAGCTTAAAAGTTGGGGGGAGTTGCTAATTTATTGAGCTAAGAGAGTTAATCTTGAGTGCAATGAATCACTGTAAAAGATTGGCTTCATTGTGCTATAATATTTATGCAGAAATTGACTTTTACAAGAAGAAAAAAAGAACGGAAACTGGTGAAGAAAATGGATGAAGGACAATAGTGAAAAGAAACAAGAGAATTTAGGCTTCAAGCTGAGACAGGAGCAGTTAATTCCTGGAAGGTTCATGTCATGAGCTACCTCCTGGAGCTGATATATAGCAATTTTACACGGCTATTCTTTGAGGGCCCAGACTACAGGATCTCCTAGTAAAACTTGGCCTTGGAGACCAAGATCTAACAGATTAAGGCTTTCAAATTGCATGTCTGCACCTAGGTTGTGATACAACGGTAAAATTAATAAGTCATGACTGGAAGGCCAGCAATGTGCCTAAAACAGCAAATTAAACCCCTTTGAAACCTAGATTAGGTAAAAGTAATCATCTTTGCAAAGGAAACTTTCCTGTTTAGGTTTCCCCTTCTCTTCTGTGGTATTTCCCCAAATTTCTAGTGTTTTCCTTTCATCTGACAAGCTTTGGAAGTGCCTTCATTAACCCAGCTTCCCAGTAAGGATTTCATGATAGGTAACACCTTGAAGCCTCCTATTCTCACTTAATTTTCATTCTTTTGTTCGTGCAGTTCACTTTCTTTGGCTCATGCCATTCTGAATAACTTGCTTCTGGCTGCCATAAACTTAATTCTGTTGGAAACTCATAATTTCTGCTTACTGGAAGATATGAAAGATAGCAAGAATATATAGTCTTCATTGTTCACCTCGATAAGTAATTCCCATGTCTAATATATAAGTCTCTCTTGATAAGGAGCTTGATGCTCTATGCCTCCAATAAAAGTTTTTGCCTGTTGTTCTTCTTTGCAATAGTCTGCTTTTGCTGCAATTGTATATCTTTTGTAGCACAGAGCTTTCTGTTATTGTGCTTTATGCTTTCAGCAACTCGAAGAGCTTTAGAGCATATATTAAATGCTGAAGTAGCTTTAAATTTCATAAGAAAATATGATAGATTGCTGCTTTTTACTGGAAAGTGCTCTTCCAGTATTGTCCTTAAACTCGTATCTTTATCCTTTATACTCAGTTGAAATTGAATTAGTAACTTGAAGAAATTCAGGAAAAGCATTAATTTTTGAAGTAGCTTTAAATTTCATAACAATGTATATGGAATGCTTCCTTTTACTGGAACATACTCTTCCTGCATCCTCCTTATAATTGAATCTGTTTTTTAGTCATCCTCTTTTTACGGGTCATATAACACATCCCTCCTATTTTTGCTGGGTTCTATGACTCAAGTGTATATTACTTTTTTATCCAAGAATACTATGGTATTTTGCATATATAACCACGATTTTTTTATGCTTATGTAGGAATATGCAGTTTGCAGTGGTTGAGAATCCTGGATTCTGGAACTGGACGTTTACTTTGAAGGACATTAATGGAGAAGTGCTGGCTGAAATAGATCGTAACTGGAGGGGTTTTGGTTTTGAGGTTATAGTTTGTCAATGTTAATGATTTATGTTTGTGTCCTAAACTAGAGTCTAGTGCTATCCAATTTGTTGTGGCAGTTTTTGGACTTTGTATGAAGTAAAGCTCTACTCTGCTTTCTTTTCTTTTGTTTTGAACTTTATTGGTTTCTTTTTCTTTTCTTTTTTTTTGTGGGGGGTGGGGTGGTGGTGGTGGTGGTGGGGGTAAATGATGCAGACCTTGGTTTATTACTGCACCTAGTGCACTCATTGCTCCTCTATTTTTTATTTTTTTTTTTGCCTTTTGTTTTTCCCACTTTGGTTTTGGTACGGCTGTTGTTCCTCTTGGAATCCAAAGATTTTGTCTTGGCTCTCCTCTTTTCTTCCTATACCAAACATATCAATATACCAAAGTATATCTTCTTTGCTAAAGTTATGTGAATAATGACATAATACTGGTGAAACATTCTCTTAGAAGGCTGCTAATGAACACTTTCCTTACATGGTGCCAAATTGATTGTGCTTGCACTTAATGTGATGCAGCTTTTTACTGACGCTGGCCAGTATGTTATCCGATTTGGCTCTGCTGATCCCAGTTATCCTGATGGAGAGGTAAATTTTTAATTGCTGATTCTGTATGTCATCTATTGTTAATATGGGCATTTAACTGCTCCCTCATTGCAGAGTCAAGAGTTACAAGTGAATCATCCGTTGACTCTGGCACAGAGAGCAGTAGCTGTTGCTTTAGCTCTCTCACTGGATAATGACTATTTCTCAAGACATGGCGGCGTGTAAGTTAATTTGTGTTGCTCCATTTTTATGAATCAAGTACAGGGACAAACTCATAGCCAATAGTATTGCATATGTTTTCTGGTAACTTATAGGTCAAAGATTTATCTGTGGTTGTAAAGCTGGTATTTTCGATTGTCCTTATTTTTTGGTACTGACTATTGAATTTATAGTTTCTGTAATGTTTCTATCATAACATACATAGAACTTGCTGTTAATTTTGCATTAATTTTGTACCACCAGGAGCATTCCTTTCTTTGTGGTCGGAGAATGATGTTTCAAGGGTTGGAATTTTTGGCAATCTACCAGGGTTTTGTACATTACAAGATCCTTTTGCTGAGGTGCTTCTCCGCTCTGGAGATGGTAAATGACTATCAGGTCAATTGGTTCTTGGTACATCTGCAATGGCTGTGGACAAGATTTGTTGCTCGTTTGCTGGCTATTATGGTGGTCATATGCAATGTTGATGAAAATTAGTAATAGAATTAGTATCTGTTGTTTATGGCCTTGAAGAATGAGCAAGTTTGTAATTCTTCTTAGATGATTGTACACAAGGCCAACAAGAACCCTCATGTTTTTGTGAAGCATGATGATGAAAAATTACAAGACTCCAGGCTTGATCAAATGCCTTATTGAAGTTTTCTGAGATCTTTGTTAGAATGAAATTCAGAGTTTCCTTGGAACAATGGGTGCAGTCATTCTTTCTGAAAAATATGTTCAGGGTTTTAGTGAACAGAATTACATGGTCAAAGAAGAAAACTGTTAAAATACGATGAAAAATACGGGTAACAAGGAGGTCATTGACTCAAAATTAAATTAGGAAAAAAAATGGTTTTGTCAATACAAAATACAAACTATAATCGGATATACGGCATGGTTGTTTAAAAAGAAGGGATAATTACATAAACCTCCCTTGAGGTTTTTAACAATTTCATTGAGCTCCCTTAAGGTTTGGAAAATTACACTTATCTCCCTTGTTTTGATAGTTTTAGCAACAAAATCTTAAAATAATATAGACTTGGTCAATTTTTTATATAAATATCCAAAAATGCCCTTGTGTAATGAGTTTTAATTTATTTTTCTATACAATTATAAGATTATTTAGTATAATTATAAGGAAAAGTTGCCAAAATTTTCATGTTCATATCTATTATTTGATAAACAGTTATAATAATAATTTTATTACTATGATATAATACTTTTGATAGTATTTTACTACGAATTTAGATTTATAAGATAGAAAAGAAAATGTTGAAATAATTCATTTAAAATTTATGAATTTTTGGAGCAGTGGAATTATCATAATTTAGTAGTGCTTTTGGGCCATTTTTTGATTTATTGTTAATTTTAATACCAAAAAATAAAAAACAAAAATCATCAAAAACATTGGATTAACATAAAATTAACTCGTCAAAAAAAATCACTAGTTCGACGTTTGGTTATATAGAAATTAGAGGTAATAGTGATAGTTCTACAGTTTTATTGGTGAAAATTTTTAAAAAGGAACAAGAAGGAAAAAGAATGAAAAAATAATTTTAAAACTTATTCTAAGTATAAGCATCATAGTTATTAAAACCAACCCGGACATCAACCCGGCAAGAGGACCGGGTTGACGGGTCAGTGGTTCAACCGGTGGGTCACTGGTTGAACCGTTGGGTCACAATATATAATAAAAAAAATATATAATATAATTAAATAAACATGTAAATTATAATATAAGTACAGAAATTCTTAAATCTCAACAAGTTATAACATGTTCATAGTTCATAATTCATTTCACACACATAAATATAAGTATCAAACCATGAAACATAAGTCATAAACGACAAATTCAATACAACCAAACATAAAGTCATGAACATAAACAACACCACAATTATCACTTGAGTAGTTCACTCCATCTATTATTCATGCCCATGGTTCCCAACTTCTGCCAAATTCAGTACCACCAAGTTCATTTACATCACAGCCCACATTAAGAACATTTCTTTCCACATTCTCTTCATTATTGGTCTCATCTTCATCTCCCGTGTCCAAATCATCCAAATTTAGAGTTTCATCTACATAAGTACAAAAATCAATGAATCATTCACTAAATTTGGATAATATTTAGCCAAAAACGAAAAACAAAGAATAAGCAAACATATGGCTCAAATAGAATAACTCACCACTTTCTAATTCCTAAAGCTTTCTAATTCCTAAAGGTTGTTTGTAGCTCATCAGTGAATGAATCTAAATTTGATTTGACAATTTGAAACCTTAAAAAGACACTGGCAACAATATCTACATTTTGAACTAATATATCAATGACGGGTTCGAGGCAAGTGATTAAATACAGGTAATGAATTTAACCATGTTGAAATTAAATTCTCAGAAGCAAAGAGTATTAAATGGCACTGGAAATTTATGTAACTACACATGTTGAAGTTCGATGCAGAGGAAGAAGAAATAAATAATCATCCAAAAAGAAAGAAGAAACAAAATATTGCCTGCGGTCAGAGAATTCGGAGAGACTTAACTCCTTAAGAGAATAGGGAGAGAGACCGTCAAACTCCACAAGAGGATTGAGAGGAACAAAGCTTCCTGGAAGCGGCAGCTTCGGTGGCAGCGGCAGCGGCAGCCTCGAGTACCTGGAGCTTCGGTGGTAGCAGCAGCTTCAGTAGCAGCGGTAGTGGTAGCTTCGAGTACCTGGAGCTTCAGTGGCCGCGGCAGCTTCAGTAGCAATGGCAGCGGCAGCTTCAGTACCAACGGCAACGGCAACGGCAGCTTCAGTAGCAGCGACGGCTTCCTTGAAGAACTTCGAACTTCCAAGTTCCAGTGCCGACAAAACAATGGCCAGTGCCGACAAATTGTTCAAACCTGCCAGTGCCGAAAGAAAAATTGTTCAAACCTGCCAGTGCCACAAAACAATGGCCGAATGCCTAAATGCTTAAAAAGTTCTCCATTTGTTCTCGCTTCTCAGAGAAACAAAGAAGAAAACAATCCCTAATGCCTAAATCCCCAATGACGGCCAAATGCCCGATTCCCTCTTCATTCTTCAATTTTTCTGATTTTCTCTTTTATTTGGCTAAAAAGACGATAATGCCCATGTAGTATGAATGGTCTAAATAAAAAAATTGGATAAAACGGTAACTTCAAAAAAATTACCAAAACCCACCGGGTTTATCAATAACCGCCGGTTCTAGCGGTTCTATGGTTAAACCGTCCGGGTCGAACGGATCAAGGCGGGTTCTTTGCAACTCCGATCCAACTAGAAAACCAGCCCGGTTTCATGACCGGGCCACCGGTTTGACCGGTCCGACCGCCGGGCCGGGCCGGGTTTAATAACTGTGATAAGCATACCAAATACGGGAGTTTTGTTAAAATATTTACGGGTAAAATTGTCATTTGTTGTTCTAAAAACATCAATTTAGAACATGTGCTAAAACTAAAAGTGCTCCTACAGCCAAAATCTCTACTCCGAAAATTAAAGAATGATACTCATTGAACACTTTAAAAAAGCTTTTATCCCTTTTACTATTTTTTTTTTCGGAGACGATAACTATTATACAATATATTCTATTCCGGAGACTTTATTAGATCAAAGGGGTGCTTTGACACCATTCTTAAATTTTTTTCGCTGCAGACGAGATTTGAATCCCCAACTACAACTCAAGGAGGGATTTAAGACGGCCATTGAGCTTGGTTTTTTTTTATTCCTTTTACCAAACATCTTAAAAGTGCATTTCCTTCTCAGAAGAGCTTTCTGCGCGGACGTACCGCATTCCCAAACGAGCCCTTGTAATGTTACATTATTCAGGAACGATTGCAGTGACAATCATATTATTCCTCTTCCAAATTATTCATGGGTTTGATTGTATGAGTTTCATTGCTGGAATCTATCAACAGTCATGGGGACCCAACAAATCCAATCAGTCGATTAGCATCCCAGTTTTTTCAACGACCGTCCATTGTCGTCCTCTCCATTGATCTTTTGCATTCTTGTGATTCTGCCAAATATAGCCGCCGGTGGATTGCTTTCATTTGGTCCCCATCGACGTTATCCACGTTATTCTGTCTCCCACTTCCACGCGTCGTTCACATCTTTCTCTCATAACCAACCGGCCTATACTCTTCAACATTGTTTTCTTTTTGTTGCCTTGTACGTTAGGTCATATTGTTCATGAACAATACCTTCTATTGTACTTCTTTTCAATAAAAAGTTTGGATGGATTTAGCTTCGATAATCATTGCAGGTTAGGGTATGTTTTCGGAACTTCTAAAAATTCTTATAGATTGCTCGCTAACATAGTTGTTATGTCAGCAGAAAACTTGAAAACCCGACCTTTAGGCATGATGATGTTGCTAGTTGATTGTTTTTGAATACCACCACCCCCGCCCCCTAGTGGATGCTGACAATTCCTTTTTCTAAGTCAATTTAGGCATGATCCAATCTTTGTCAAAGATGCTTCTAATCTGTCAATTTAGGCATGATCAAATCTTTGTCAAAAATCTTATGCATGACTTGATTTGAAATGTTCGTAAATTATTTGGTCAAGATAAATGATAATTTTTTCCGTCTTAATTGTAGCATCATCATAACAGAAATTGGTTCACAAGGTATTTTGAATAAATGGAAGTTTTTGAGTTAATTACAAAAATTTTGTTACACTTGGGGTGACTGTAACTTAGTAAGTTTGGGTGTAGTACAAATATTACTTTGTCTAATATGACCCTAAATTACTCAGTTATTGAAGCAATGGTCTACATTAACCTTCAAATATATTTTACTTCAAATGAATTCATACTTCTTTAAAGTACTAAAGAATTTCGCAAGAAATAGTACCTTGTCTTATTTTACGTGGATTTGGGACAACTAAAACTACTCGACTTAATGAGTTTTCTTCATTATGATTATTATGGCCTCATAAGTTCACTATCTTCAAGATTTCTAGGATATATTCACATATTGAATTGACATGTCAAAATTTTAAGTTCACTAATTTCTATTTTCTGTGCAGTTTAGAACATACGTCATGAATCCAATGATGATATATATTATACTGACAATCAGTGTATGTAAGATTTACGCTTAGAACAATGTTAAATAATATCTAGAAATAAAAGTAAGATTGTCGTGTAAAAGGTAAGAAGCATGCGGTTCTTGTAAGTTATTGAGAAAGAAATTAAAGAACTTTTTAGCAAGGAAGTTGACAATAATTTGGCTAATCTAATCGGTGAGAGATGTAGATCTATTCTAAAACTGTATATTAATTACTCCTAGCAATCCCCATTTCTAACCTCTAAAGTGACACTAATTGGAAAACCAAAATTAGAAGTCTATATTTCCCTACTTTTGGTAAGAAAATTAAGGTGCATTTCAATCTTATGTTTGACTATGGATCTTAACACACAATAATCGTTCAATCTTTTGTAATGGGCTAAAGAATTGCATGATTTATTGCAGGAAAACTTTTCCTCAGTTGAGACTAGAAAGTTACATATGCATGCATCCAACTCAATAACAATAAGAGTAAACTACCTACAGAGTCCTTAAACGATTTCAACCATCTCAAATTGGTCCCTCATTTATTTCAAGTTTTAAATTGACATCTCAAACAATAAAAAAGTGTCAAATTTTGATCTTCAAGTCTATTTTCACTGTTAGATTTGTCAAAATTTGCCCTTACATCCATTAGTTTCAGTGGTGGAGATTGACTAAACGATCAAAATTTGACGCTTTTTATTATTAAGAAACCATTTTGAGACTTGAAATAAATGAGGGACCACTTTGAAACCAATGGAATAATTTAAGGGCTCTCTAGATAGTTTTTCCTAAAAATAAAGGAAAGAAGGAACATGCGTTGCCAAATTGACAAATTTCGTTACTTTTACCTACAATTCAAAAGTGTGCAATTTTGCAAATGTGTTATAGACCACAAGATAGCATAAATTGTAAATTTAAATATGAATTATTAATTTTTTATTTATCGATAGTCGATTATCCGTCATTAGAGGTGTAATTGCAGTCAATAATTAACGGCCTAATTCAATCAACTTTGCATTTTCATATAATAATACAATTTGAGTTGCAAATTTGGATTTCATTTTAAAATCTGATTCATGAGTTAGCATCTACAGTTGCACCTGCGACAGATTGTAGATTCCCTAATCCCATTTTGATGACTTTTTTTTTTTTTTTTTGTCTGTGGCAGTCACTTTTCTTGATGGCTTCACGTTAAAGTGACCCTTCCCTAAACCCTTTCCATGGATGAAACTCTACTTTCTACCTGACTGGATGTTGAAAGCTGAAGATTTGTCATCTTACCTGCCCTGGTTCAACTCACATAGTTTCCCATAAGTTCTAACTCGTATTGTTTTAAATGGGAAAAAAAAGGTTAAGAATTATCATCTAGTTTTTGCCATTCTATGCCCAATCATGCACAATAAAATACCCCTATATTTAATTTGTTTTAGTTAGCTTTTTTTTTTTTTTTTTACCACTTGTCATCATCTACATCTACACTTACTCCTAGTCCTAATCTAGCTTATACTAGGGGGTGACTCAACAGGGTCACGGAAAATCGATGGGGACTAAATCACCATCGGACCATACGGGTGCACAACACCCATATGGATCTTAAGCAAAGTCACATTAAATTGCAACTTTTTGATGGGAGGTCAAGGGTTCAACACCTCACACTAAAGGTGGTGGCCAACTCCACTCCACTAAAGGGAGTTGGTCAATTTGTTTTAGTTAGCCGTAATTGACTAATTTCACTCTAAGTGCAGGGGAGAACTTTTAGAATTTTCTCGAGATCTATATTTAGTGTTTGAATCCTAATTCTGACGGTCGAAGATGGGAGGCAAAAAATAATAATAGTAATAGTAATTTCACTCTAACGTCAACAGTTATAGGATATGCATGACTCTCAAGCTCAAATAATTGTGTAATCATGACATGATTATTTTATCCATAATAATGTAATCATAGGATGATAACTATGCCCAATTAATTCATTGATATACATGGTAAGTAAATAGTTTAACAGTAGTATTTGTCATTAGTCCTACGTTTCTTTACTTTAAAATTGGTACAGGTCATCCTGACTCTGTGTGACAAAATTGACATTAATATAACATAATCACCGACCATAGACAATCAAACTAATCTCCGCTCATTCAGTACTCAGAAAAGGACAATCTGCACGGAAGGTAGAATTCTTATAACCTAATATAGCCTATAACCTCCTGCTTGTTATATAGGTATGCTATTTTCTTGCCTTTGATATAAGTTAAATTTTTCTTCAAGAAAAATATGCACTTTTGCAGGTGTCTTGACTTAATGTTTGGTTTATGAACTCGATTGGACTTTTTATTTATAGGAACAAAAGGTAGAAATGACTTTGTTCAAATATATATTTTACCTTTCAAAAATTTGAGGCAAAGTAAACAACATGTTATAATTTTCTAAAAGGATTTTGAGTATTTAAATTTGCAAATAAGCAAGAACATAGAAATGGAAAAAAAAAAACATTTATGATGTTTTACTTATTAAACTTTCTTTCCTCGCATCTTAGTCAGTGTGAAAATGAAAATATGTTGAGTTTTTAAACTTTTATTTGGAGGGGGTGGGGGTTAAGTTTTTATTCTTTGTTTTCTAAGAAAATAAAACTTAATTTGCTAAGTTTGATTGGCTAGTTTATACTTGATTTTCTTTAGAAACATGATATGCATTTTTCATATTTAATTCTTTATTTTTTGCTCTAACATGGGAGGCATAAGATTTAATAAGCAGGGAAAGAGAATTTGAATTCAAAATATTTAACTTAAAAGTCCAGATCGTAGTCACTAAACTAAGGTCTTCTCGACATTTAATTGTCTATTTATTTTCTCATATTTAACCCAAAAATTACTACCTTAATCTTGTGTGATAGTCTCTTAACATAACTGCAATCTATTTCTATATATGTGCATTCCAGAAACTATAAAATATATTGCTGATGTCAGTGACCATAGATTGTTTTTAAAACACTTTCAAG